TGTATTATGTTGCTCTTCAAAACCAGTTGCTCTTAAATTAACTTTATGAGATTAAAAAACTTTTTGTACCAGATTCCGGTAACTTCTTCATTTTTTAACTACAGGTTGTCTCAAAATTATGTATAATAAGATACAAAAAACATTACGATTTTATTCTTTGCTAGTTTATTTATTGTAAATTTACATTCTTTAAGTTACGTGATAAAATTAACCTACACGTGACAGCAGTGACCAATATTTTGGGGGTTCACATTGACAGAATATAGATCTCAAAACATATGCAGGTAAAAAACTTTCAGTGTTTTAGAATCACTTAAAGTTTTGTACTTACATCTGTACTGAGATCTATATTCTGTCATTGTAAACCCCCAATATTTTACTCAAAAGCCGTCACTGCGTCACAGTTCAAAACAATTCAATTTCCAAGTACGGCATTTTCCCCCAGATATGAGGAATAAATCGGAAAAATGGCAACGTCGCAATATTTCATAAAATAATATTTCCGATGTTTTGAATGTTTTCTAGCAATTTTTCTCATAGATATTATTATTTTATTCCTATAAAATTGTATTTGCTGTACACTATATTGACTCCATGATTATCCATTTATATGTATCTGATGATAAATTAACTTTATGAAACAAAAAGTATTTTTTCTACCACCATACAGTTACTTTATCATTTTTTATCTACAGGTTGTCTCAAAATTATGTATATTAAGGTACAAAAAACATTTATTTATTGTAAATTTACATTCTTTAAGCTTTGTGATAAAATTAACCTACTCGTAACAATTAAAAACAATTCAATTTTAAAATACGGGATTTTTCCCCAGATCTGAGGAATAAATCGGAAAAATGACGACGTCGTAATATTTCATGGACGAATATTTTCGGTGTTTCGAATGTTTTTCAGCAACTTTTTTTTATAGATATAATTATTTTACATGATAATTTAGAAAATTTGTATTCCAACGTAAACTTTTTCATCTTATTTCTATAAAATTGTATTCATTATACACTATATTGACTCTATAATTATCTATTTATATGTATCTTATGATGAAGTTATTCTTCAAACCGGTGGCTCTTAAATTAACTTAATGAGACAAAAAGTACCTTTTTCTGCCACCTTACAGAAGCTTTGTCATTTTTTATCTACAGGTTGTCCCAAAATTATATTTATTAAGGTACAAAAACATCACAATTTTATTCTTTACCAGTTTATTTATTGTAAATTTACATTCTTAAAGTTTTGTGATAAAATTAACCTACTCGTAACAATTAAAAACAATTCAATTTTAAAATACGGGATTTTTCCCCAGATCTGAGGAATAAATCGGAAACATGACAACGTCGCAATATTTCATAGAAGAATATTTGAGGTGTTTTAAATGTTTTCTAGCAAATTTTTGTCATATTATTGTCACTTTTTCATTTCATTCGTTTAACTTTAACCAACTAAAGAACCACCTCTTGCGAAAGAGCTAAACAGGTTCCACCATGGCGGCATATCTTATGGGCAGCTCTGGTCTTTGCATTTAATTACTGCCTACCTTTCTTTGCTTTTGTCTTCAGTATCGTTTTTATGTACTGGTGTACTATCTGCCACTTACCCCTCGTCTGCAACATTTCTATTAGGAAATTGTCTGCTCCCAGTATTATCCCTAGCTGGATGTGTTTCCGTTGTCTTTGTAGCGACCATCCAGGGCATTCGAACAAAGTGTATGGCACTGGGTCTGAGGATTCGCAGTATACGCAGTACTCTGTATCTGCTTTTTTAAACCTGTGCAGGTATTTTTTAAACACTCCATGGCATGTGAGTACTTGAGTGAGGTAGAAGTCTGTGCACCGGTGCTTAACCACTTCTGCAGGTCTGGTATTAGTGCCTTCGTCCACTGCGCGACCCCTTCTGTCTGCTCTCGTCGGTTCTACCACATCTCAAGGGTGCATTGCCTTTCTTCCCTTTTGGCTTTGTTGTTAGTTTCTCTTCTAAGGTGTAAACGAAATCTTTCCCTTACCATTAGGTGTATAGGAATAACCCCGGCCAAGACATTTAAGGTGACTATTAATGCAGTTCTGTAGGCGCTGCAGGTTTGCAATAGGCATTTTCTCTCTACTCTAGATAGCAAGGACTTGTAGTATTTTATATGCAGCATCTGGTGCCTTATCTGTGCACCATACAGTATGGTGGATTGGACCACACCGTAAAGAATCTTTTTTCTCATACTGCTGGGGACTCCTAGATTTGGCATAATGCGAGACAGGCTTGAAATTCTCTGTTCTGTTTTCCTGGTGATTTTTTTTGAGTGTTCTCCATACTTTCCTTTCTCGCTTAAAGTTATTCACAGGTATTTAACGTGTTTTGCAGGTCTTATTTTTGTGTCTGTCATGCGTACTATGAGGTTTTCTCTTTTTTTGGTGCCTTTTAGAACTACATTCTTTAAGATATGTGATAAAATTAACCCACAAAAAAATTCAATTTTAAATCATGAGATGTAATTTTCCCCAGATCTAAGGAATAATTTGGAAAAATTGCAACGTCGCAAAATTTAATAGAAGAAACAAATTAGGCTTTTACGCATAGTCAAAAGGGCAATAGCGATTGTGATTTTTTCACAGTAATTTTGGGACACAATTTGTAGTTAAATAATTTACTTTTAGAAAAATTGATTTTTCTTATCTTTGACGTATAACAATTTATCAAACTACCAAAACGCCTTTGCAATTTTCGTTTCTGGTCCGTAAGTAGGTTGAGGAACTATTTGCAGCGGGTAATAATTTTTTTAAAAAGATGTTAATGATTTTATTGTACGTCGAAGAACATGAAAATAATAAATATATACGAGTGTTGTTAATCCTACACGACTTTTATCAATTATCCGGCAACAAAACGATTAAAGGTGCGGTTCTCGGAACACAGTCCACAATACGTGTTTGATAGTTGGCGTGATTAGCTCTGCAGTGGTATTATTAATAAATTAATGTATTAATAAGAATACTTTAAATGGTATAATTTTAATTGGTGTGAAAATTTTAATTTGTTTTTCTTTTATAGATTTATTATTTATTAAATTACCAAACGTTTGAAGACCTTTATTTAATATTTAAATAAAATAATTATAATAGAAAACAAAAATAAAAGTATGGAGAAACGGACTGGGTTGGCTTAGTGGTTAGAGTAGGGTTGTCAGATTTCCAAAAGTGAAGAGCGACAACCTTGACAACCGTGACAACCGTGACGATAGAGCAGTAGGTTCAAATACCAAGCATTTTTATATAATCAGGTCTACTTTTTGTGAAATTTCTAAACAAAAAAGGTTCTTAGCTTAGATTTTTTGTAAAAACGAGGGTCATTTGTCCGAATATTTTTTTATTTTTGTATAAATCCGGATCCTCTACGGCTTTAAATTCAAAAATGTGGCATTTGCATAAAAAAAGTGGAATTTGCATAAAAGAAAAATTGTCAAAAGCATGGCATTTTCGTACTGTAGCGTTGGGCGTACAAGCAAGTCAAAAAGCGTAGCAAATACGCCAAAAGCGTGTCGTCTGGACATCCTAGGTTAGAGTCATGACTTTGAGATCGAAAGGTCTTGGGTTCGGATCCCGCTGGTGGCAAAGATTATCCCACTCAAACATTTACTGTTGGGTTCTAAATAACAGTGCTTTTCCTAAAGTGACGCTGGAGAACAGTGTTAAAACCTATGCAAAACACGAGGCTAATAACCACAGCAGTTGATGCCGATGACACCAAATAAAAAAAAACTATAGAGAATAATTGCTTGCTTTGAATCTGGATTTCCTTAATTATTATAAATGATGTTTTGATTTTTTTAAAACGGATTAAATGTTTATTGAGAATGAATCATCAGCCAAAGGTAAGCATAGTCACAAAGAAAGGTATGGTTTAAAAGTAAACTGAATAATTTGATCAATTTTGTTTGCAAAACCAAATATCAAGTATTTACGGTGTTATATGCACTTAGTTGACAAGTTATTATGGGAAGTGTGGGACACTATGGGCAAGTATAAAAGAGTATTATTACAAGAATTCTTTATAGTTATAATTCGAAATTGTTTTAACATAAGGCTTTAAAATGCGCAAAAAGCTTTAGAAATTATATTAAGGAAATACACATGCATTCTTAATGCCCTTTCCTGGACTAAAATCCGAGATTTTTTTACATTGGAATATTTGGGCCGCTCTTGTTTGTCATCACGTTTCTTCCATTTAAGAATAACTACTTTTTTAAGTTATTTACTTTGATAATTTTTGCAAAAGTTACAATTTTTTGTCACAGTAAATTTTTATTTAATTATATACATGTCTCTTCGGCACATTAGGTTTATTTCTTTTAAATTACAACGCACTATACCATACAATTTCTTTTAACGACTTTATTTAAAGATGACCTTTAGATGGATATCTTACATAATAAATATGCTGAATAAATCAACGATTCAAGTGTGTTTAGATTGATAAAGTACCGTTTTCGGTGAAAAATGCATGTTGGTGGTCAAATAGGATCTACCAGTGGGAGGTATGATAATTATTAGAGTCCGATTACTATAAGAAAACACAGACAGCTACGTCATCATTTGGCAAAGTTATTAATACGCCATCGCCACCTACTGGGGGTTTAGTGAAGGGTTAATACTATAGGAATATAAGAGATATTTTTTGTATACCTAACAACATTCTTATTTTTTATTTATAGATAGTCATAGATAATGTGTATTAAAAATAAGTAATAGTTATGATGTAGCGGTCTTCTTCTAATTGTAATTTACCTGCTTCCAATCACTGAGTACTTTGCATTGCCCCTTATATGGACAGAATCAAATCAATATGTTTGGTACAAATTGTTAATTTCGGAAGTAAATCTTTAACCAAATTGGATCGTAATCAAACTTTGCTGGACTGAATCATTAAATGTAATAGTATAGGAATCGTTTGCATAACCGCGCATATAGTAATAAATAAAATTAGTTATTTTAAAGATGCTACAATCAAACAGGTATATTGATAATTTAAGCTCATATATAGATAAATTAAAAATATTAACTTTGTTTTATCAAATATGCATCTATAAATTTAAGTAGCTAAAAAATGAGGATTGTTTATTTAAAAACAAAAAATTATATATTATGTTGTGCAACACCAACAAATATGATATCAGAGATTACTATTTGAAAAGCATCTATATAGTTTCCCTACTTAATATTAATATGTATTATCTTCATTTTAACAGTTGTATTCATTATATTATATCACAAACCAATAATATAAAATCTGACAGTTTCTATGTAATCTTAAAATATTAATTTGACATCGATACAAGCACTATGCATACGATTTTAACTAAAACTTCATATAAATTGAATTTATTTCGTTCCTACAAAATTCTGGCTTTTAGACTTTTAAAATATTTTAAATTTTGTATTCCAAAAATTTGTTGGATTGTTTCTGTGATGGTAATATTAGGAAACACATTTTTTTTAATTGTATCTTTATATAGGTCACCTAGCAGTAGCTGTATAAATTTTTTAGATTGTTTTAGCACTTGGGCTGAAGAAAATTTATGTGATAATTCTCAAATAGTTATTGTTTCTGGAGATTTTAATATTGATCTGTTAACTAAAAACACTTACAATGCGAAATTAAGTGATATTTTCATTGATACTGGATTAAAAAATATTGTTATAGAATGCACAAAACCAAATAGAAGTAGTGGGTACACTAATAGATTTAGTTATAACAAATAATGACTCGGTTTCAGCTGAGGTTATCAAAACACCAAGAATTTCAGATCATTTTATGCTTTTAACAAATGTGCTATTTTTGAAATTGAAAGCTGAGGTAAGTAATTAATAACAAACTTTCAAAATTAGCATGGAACTATCATATTTATGACATTAATGCAAAATATGATAATTTTGTAACAAATATTTTAAACGTATTAGATTCTGTAACGCCAAAAAACAAATAAAAATATTTCCTAAATACAAAAAATGGTGGAATGAAAATGTAAAAGCTGCCACAAGGTACAGAGACCTTGCATATAAAAATGATTTACAAGAAACAACAGAAAATAATTGGAATGAATACAAAATGCATAGAAATAGGACCGTTAACGTAATTAGAACAGAAAAAAGTAAACACATAGAGAAAAATATTGACGAAAGTAGAGGAAATTCAAATGAAATGTGGAAATATCTTTGTCTGATTCCAAAAAATAATAAGTATAATAATCTAATTGAAATTGAACTAGAAAATGTTATTATAAAAAATAATTTTGACATGCCAAATGCTCTTAATAAATTTTACATAGACAGTATCCAATCGATTGCTAGTATGATGACAATGGGTTAGGAGGGCATACAAGAAGTTCTAAAGCGATTTAATAAGGAGAGATAAAGCGATAAAACAAGGTGAACTTCTCGTATGTCCTCCTAACTTATTGTCCAATGTTGAGTTTACCCTATTACAAATAACTTTTCCCTATTTAAACTATTAGCAATATTTGTCCAATATTTACTTAAATGTCCATACTAGCACTCAACTGTCCAGAGTAAACTACACGTTTTTCATTTAAAAACCATTGGCGTCCAAGATCTTCTGCAATTAAGAGATCGTTTTCTGACATTCTGGATCTCAATGATAGAAGCTAGTTTTTAAATCAGTTTATGTGTGTGTATTCTACAATCCATAATCCGTTATCAATAAAATTAATCTAGATTAGGGGCCAAAAAGTTTCTTGTACGTATAAATGCCGTTTATTTTATGATCTAGAACTCTCAACACAGTACTTTGATTGAAAACTCTCATTGCTATTGCATGGTCTAGAAGTCTCATACGGTTTCTTGGCCGAGAACTCTCATTGCTATTATATAGCCTGGACTGCATAGCCTAAAAGTCTCAATACAGTTACCGTTAACGACCATTCTTTTAGGTTCATCACTACGCAGGTTTTTTTCAGTACCCAAGATGGACCCCCCTACCCCCCCATTATTCACGAGAATAAACAAGTTATCGACATCGCTTCTTTACGTAGACACAGCTATATCGCGTCCTCACGTTTCGAAATGCTCACTGCCACTTCTTATTCTTCTCCAGGGGCTCTCCGATCGCGACTCTATCATGTTTTTCATTAAATATATTGTATATGTGTCGCTTTCTTTAAAAGCCGTTTGCACCGTTCAAATCGATGTTTTATTAGGTCCTTTTGTTTTTGATGGTAATTATTTCGTTGGAAATGACAGCTAGATAACAGTTCAAGTGAAACACCAATAACAACCATCCGTTAATGCCCTTTTGTCTTTGATAGCAATTCTTTCGTTGGAAATAACAGCTAGATGACAGTTGACACTAAATGCCGTTTGCCCCGTTCGAATCGGACCAGTAATATCCGAGAAACACGCTAAGGCCCTTCTGGCTTTTCGTTCTGCGCATGATTTTTCTATTAGACGTTAATCTATACCACGTTCTCTACGTAATGCCGTTTTTTTTTCGTTTGAATTGAACCAGTAATGTCCGAGAATCACGCTAAGGCCCTTGCGCATGATTTTTCTGTTCGACGTTAAAAGAGATTTAATTCCCCCATTTCCCTCACTCTCCTGCTGGTGGCTCGAGAGGTTAGTTACTGATAAGATCCTCGACGTCACACCGTCACCGTAAAAATTGCCAGAATGAACCTTAGCGATTTCCCATGTTAATGTAAATAAGGAATGAGGCTGTTCTCCTGCTGCTCCTTTACTCTAATATATTTTTCTTGTAAGGATTCAGATACCTTGGTAAAAATTGTTAATGAAATACTGCAACATGTTTAATATTAATACAAATAAAACAAAATGTATGCTGATAAGTAGCAACTATAACTATACACAGTTTGTTGATAAACAATATAACATCACAATTGGAAGAAATTTTATATAGTTAGTAGAAAAATTCAAATACTTAGGGGTAATGATTGATAAGCAGATGAGATTCATAGATCATGCCAACACTGTTATCCAAACTATTGCATTTAACATTGGCAGTTTTTATAGATCTTCAAAGGGCATTCGAGACTGTTGATCAAAACCGTTTGATAAAAAAATTTAAAACTATGGGTATAGTAGAGCAAGAGAGTGACAACTTTATTGAATGATGTTTTATATTTCTCTTAATTCGAGAAATTTTGCTAAAAAAAAAATATTTTTAATTAATATTGCAGTGTTTTCAACTACAGTTTGTTTTGAGATTGGCCTGTATCGGAATAAAGGATGATTATCATTGCTTAATGTATCATAGTGCTAAATAGTATCATCTAAATGATTCATGAATCAATGTAGTCATTATTAAAAGTAAAAATAGGAATGTCACAGAGACAGTTGTCAAAGTAGAAATTTCAAAACTTTCAATTTTATAGCATTGTTGATTAAAAATCAAAATGTTAATTTCCCACTTATTAGAAAAGCTATGTAGTTTATTATAATTTTAAATATACAGTGAGCATCATAATAACTCGTTATTGGAGTCTTGTTAGGAAAATCTCCGAGACAGGTCGATTTTTGATTTCTACAATGTATATTTTTGTATGATTAGTTTAACCTTAATTTCATCCCTTACTGCAGGGGAGCAACCCTTTCGAAAAATTTAAATGGCATGGGGTGATAAGTGATAGCTCATTTGAAAGGGGGTTTTATTCTCTATTCAACCGTGCAAAAAATTTTGAAATTTGCTTCATTACGTGTTGATTTATTAATGTTTAAAAATAACAAAACCTCACAAAATAGGAAAGCAACTAGACTAACAGTGACTTTCTAATGGCAAAAAGTCTTACTTCACGTCTGAACCGAAACCGAAATCATGCAGGGCCGAATTTTAATTCTAAGGATGAGTGCGTTACGTTAATTTCCGTTATTCTGAAACAACAATTAGTCGAGAATTAATGTAGCAAATTATAAAATTTTTTACACGGTTGAATAGAGAATAAAACTTTATTTCAAATGAGCTATCACTCACCACCCCATGCCATTTAAATTTTTCGAAAGGGTTGCTATTCTCCAGTAAGGGATGAAATTAAGGGTAAACTATTCATACAAAAATGTACATTGTAGAAATCAAAAATCGACGTGTCTCGGCGATTTTCCTAAGAAGACTTCAGTAACGAGTTACATAGGGGGGTAAGACTTATGGTGTTCACTGTATAATGAAATTAACAAGAAATCTTATTGGCTATTAGAATAGGTGTGTATTAATCGATTTATTATAATTCATGGTTGATGATTATCGGTTATTATTATCAACAATATACTTATTTAATATATTTAATAGATAATAAATCCTGTATCTTATTATATAGATCATTTAAATCTCAATTACCTGACACACCATAACATACTCGACATACTAATTAATATATGTTTGAGCCACTCTGTATTAGAATAAATCGGAATAATTTAATCGTAAAATATTACGAGTTTGAATTCCTTATCATTCGCATAAATTTGTATGATTATGAAATAATTTGAAACTATTTAGGTGTTTAAAACAACTTCATTTGAATTTATAATTAGATATTCTCAACTAAGATGACACCTGCAAATTTCTTATTTTGAAAATGGGTTTAAACCTTGAACTTGCTTAATAAACATAAGAATTGAATCGAATTAGGAAAAAAAGTTGTTCTTTATAAAAAGTCGATCATGGTCTAAAATCTAAAATACAACCATCATATATCAAAAAAAAGGTACTTTACTTTTCAGCAAAATTAATATTTTTTGACAAACTATAGGGCTTAAAAAAATTCTGATTGCATTTTAAGTTTTATACCATGCAGAACTTTTTACCAAAAATACATTTTTTCACAAAATCATTAATAAAAAAGCTCTCCATATGGTTCCAATTTAAGTGGACACACTGTATAATCCCTGAACAAGAGTAATTTAATTGAGATTTTAATTTTTTCTTAAATGTTATTAGAGGTAAAAAATTAATTTTTTTTAAAATCTTAAATACTTGATTTTTTATACTTTTTTAACAGAAATGTTTTTATAAATGATGAATTAATATCTCCTATATTTAATACATTTAAATTTAAATTATTATTATCATCCAAATGGAAAGATTTTACGTCACTATCGCTATAGCACTCGCGGTTACACGTGAGAGTTTGTTAAAAATTGTACTTTAGCACTGAATAGTGTTCATCTTGCGGACCATTCAAACTGCAGCCCTCAAATACAGTCCACTACCCTCCAGATCTGGTGCGTGCACGCCCCAGAATAAAAATTTACATCAGAATGCCGGGATAACAGAAATTTTAAGTAGGACTCGATTGGAAAAGCTTAATAACATTTTTTGGAGACTCCGACTTAGCGGCATCTCAGCCTTAACCTTTCTACTTATTTTATTTTATATAAAAGTTGCTTTGACGTTTCTTTAATTTAAAATTTTCCAAGCCATGTATTAAAACGTAATATCTAATAATTATTTGGCGACATATGACTTAGAGAATTTATTGTTTTAAGCTACTGATTCGAAAAAACACCCAAGCGCGTAGTTGTAAAAGCGTAAAAACAAACCGATTCAATGCATTTTATTACTATAAACGACTGTGGATTTTTGTCGCAGTTAATGAGTTTGCCTCAGACTTTATTTATGCTTGGATACGTTGCTCGGCTTGCAAATAAATTATTATCACTTGCAGGTATATTTCTTATTGTTTTAATAGACTGTGGTTTTCTATTTGTCCTTACCCACTTGTTACTCTCTTTTATGAGTGTATGAGTTTTCCTAGCTATATTTAACATTTATTTAGTTATTTATGTAACAACTAGTGCATGTTTCAATGTATTTCTTCTTATTTTTATGACAAAAACTTTACAAATATTTTATTTTTCCTGGCAACTCTTCAATTACCTTTCTCACATCTTACTATATGATACCTTCTTATTTAAAAGTAACGTACAATCTACCGTTAACAAAATAACAAAAACTTTTCGTCGATTCATGTCGAATATCAAAATAATTCGTTTTGTGTGAACCCATTTAATAAGTTCGATAAATCATTTCATTCTTCTGCTTCGAAACTCGCATAATGAGGTTCGCTTTTATAAGTTTAATAAGACATGCTGTTGCGTATTAAAAGCAGATGGAAAAATAAGTCCATTAATTCCGTTGCACAATCGTTATTTAGATAGTCTAACAATAAGTCTCTGCTGACTTGAAGAGATAATTCATTAAAAAGTTTAAGTTATAGTTGGCACACCTCAATTATTATTAATGAGACGGCCGACAACTATATGAATGCGTTCAGTTCAAGAGTTTTGAAAAAGAATTCCAAATTTTATAATACATAATACATTCTTTAAACTTTATACTTTAATCTGTACAAGATTTATTTTCATATATTCAGCAGAATTTAATAGTAACTGGAAATGGTGAATTGTTACTTCTTATATCTAAAATACAATGAAAGTGCGGTCGGTCTTATGAAGCAATTAAGAAAATTTTGATAAATAATAAACCGGAACTATCACTAAACGTAAAACGACTGGATTAAAAAGATATTCTTAAAAATAAAAGTAAATATTTCTAAAACGCTTAAGGTGTTTAATTTAAAGATTTTGATAAATTTGCCAATAATATTTCACAATGAATTAAATCAATCTTAGGTATTACATCATATTCATTCAGAAAATATGCCATTTAAGATACATTATTTACACATCCCTGCCTGTACGAAATACTCTGTCTTTAAAATGATTATAATATATTATAAATGTGAATCCATCTCACTATTACATTAGCAAATCAATTAAATGTTGTGTCAAGACCCGTTAGTTGAGAAATTCCATATTTGACCAGCTCGCCTTGAAACACAACCAAATTATTCTCATCCTACATAATTTTATTTGATTTTTAAGAATCTGTTAAAATAATATTGTCCTAATTGATCGTAAAATATCTTATAAAATATTTAAATAAAATTTATAGTGTAATATAAACAATATAAATAAAGTTATTAGGTTTCTTTGGTTTTGTGGCAATAATGACCACTTATAGGTTTGTAAAAAATTTATTTAAAAAAAGGAGGATTGTCTTTTGTAAGGATGTTTTTTATTTCTTCCGTAAACCATGGCAGAAAGTGTTTGCGACATAGTTGGAGTCTATTAGTAAACTTTGGTACATATATGTCAAAAATTTTATAAAAAAACTTGTTAAAAATATTTGACAGAATCATCAACCTTTTCGAAGTGTCCAATTTTTGACTAATCGAAATCCCTGCATGTGTCCCCTTTTTACTATCTAACAAAATTATGAAAATGAGTTAGTTGCGTATACAAAAATCAATAAACCATGTTCTATATTCGGCTAAATCCATTATTTACTGTTATGTTTTGTTTACGAGTTAAAAGGAACAAAATACCCGCTAATTGTACTACTCCAGAGATTATCTTGTGGAAGAAACATTATTTACAAGCTTATAGCGTAGAAGTTTATCATAGTTTCACACACAAAAAAAGTTAAAAGACTATAACGCTTTATATTTACTAGCTGCTGTTTCATATATAGTAAATCAGGGTCTATATTCTGGTGAAATCCATTATCTTATGTTGTTACATTTTAATGGTATAAAGTGCTAATAGCAAACTTAAAATTGTTAAAATTAGACCCACTATGTTAAGTAAATTACAGTTCGCCAGTAAAAAGAAAATAAAAGTAGATTTTAATTTGTATTAGTAGGTATTATAGTAATAATCTGGCAATATTTTATAAAAACTGGTTTAAGACATGGGAAGATATATCAATTCATCATCGTGATTTCGGCCTGTTTCTTTATAGTGTATAGTGTATAGTGATAAAATTTATTATTTTTCTTCGGATTTTATTGCTAGTAGCTAATCAGAATGCCAAAAGAAAAAACTGATTTTGATATTAAGCTTGTTAAAATTGTCGAACAGCAACCTTGTTTATATAATTATCAGTTACCGATATATAGCAAAAGGGACTCTGTGGCTACGGCATGGAAAAAAGTGGCTCAGGAAATGAATGAATCAGGTAATAAAATAAATTTTAAATTTTTGTTTAATATTCTAATTATTAGTAAAATATTTTATTTGTACAATATAATTGTTTTGCCAAAAAAATAATCAAACAAATAATCTCTTATCCCAGAAGCTGTGGTCAGATTTCTAGCTCTTTCTTCATCTTCCTCATTTTTCTTTCAATTATCTGATTTTCTTGATGTTCTGTGAAATCTGATGGCTCTTGAATGTGTCTCTCTGTTTTACGGATATAATTGTGTAAAATACAAGCTGTTTTTATAATTGATATTACAGTATTCTCGGAACAAACCATCGAACCTTCTAAAACCTTAAACTTGAAAACTAACATTCCAAAAGTACACTCGACAAATTTTCGAGCTCTGCTTAGTCTATAGTTAAAAATGCTCTTTTTATTTGCCAAACTCTTTTGGGGTAAGGTCGCATGAGATACTTGCTTAAAAGAAATGCTTCATCTCCACATAAAAATAGGGAATATTTGGTCCATTTTCATCTTTGGGTAATTGTTCAGCTTGAGGTAAAGTCTAGCCAACGGCCTAATCGGGATATCCGTAAAACACCTCCATCACTATTACGCTCTAGGTCACCAACATCTATTGTAGTAAAATAACCATCGGCATCTGCACTTGCCATAAGCTGAACTGAAAAATAACCTTTATAATTTATATTCCTAGAGCCTGTGTTAGCAAATTTGTGAACACGAATGTGCTTTCTATCTATTGATCCCACACAAAGAGGAAAATTCCAAAATAAGTTGTAGCGATCGGCTATTTTTTTCTGTAGGTACAGGCATATACAAAGGTTGAAGGGCGATCCATATCGCCTCACAGGTATTAGCTATTATTTTTCCAATCGTTGTAGCACCTCTCATAAAAGTAAACCCCAGTTGCTTAAAATTTACACCAGTTGCTAAGTATCTGAAAAAAAAAGTAAATTAATTTTGTCAATTATACTTTCCTGAAAACACTTGTTTTTATTTGTATTTTATTGCAGTCCAAGAATGCAAAGATACATGGCGGACATAACGCATAATATTTTCAAGATTCATTAAATTACCCCCTAGTGGAAGTGGAGCTAAGAAGTTATCTCAGAAAACTACGGACGTGATAAAAGAAATGAATTTTATAAGACCTTACGTCAAAAACAGTCAAGATTTACCAAGTAATCTGCTACGACTTCCATCTCTTGAAAATCAAGATTCCAATTCTGGTGAAAACATAAGAGATGTTGAAGATATCGATCCGGACGGGCAATCAGACTGTCTTCGCAACAGCTGCCACTCCACAGCTAAAAAAGTCAAAACCGGTAGAATTACCAACTACAAAGAAAGGAAACCTGATAAAGATTGCGAAGTTGACTCTTACGTTACGGAATATCTTAAACGGAAACAAGTCAATTCAGATAACCCAAAACAACTATTTTTGTTGAGCTTATTACCGGATCTGGAGCAGATGGATAATCACCAAATGAGACAGTTTAGATGCAAAGTCAGTCAACTTATAGATGATGATATTTTAACAACCTTGGCTCTTGGCTCTTGGCAAACTATAAACAGTCATCAGGGTATTCTGGCTTCAAATCAATTATCCACACAACCTGCTGATGTTCAGGATTGGCTCCGTAGTACCACCGGGCATTTACAAAATAGTCAGGAGAACCCAGAATATGACTTATCAGCATGGTTAGAATAGAACAACGTTTAGCAATTCGCAAAAATATAAAACAGCATACCTACCATGTTTAATAATATTTATTATTACCATGTTTAACATTAGTTAGTTTTTTAAGTACTCTCAGTAGTATTTTTTGTTAGTATTATCTTAATTAAAAATTATTTGCTTACCTTAGTATGATTAACAGTCTTTCTTCTGGCGGAATAGGCATTCTCCAATGAGTTTCCTTTTTCTCAATTAACGGCCTAATAAATGCTAATAGGTGATAAAAATTTTCCTGGTTCATTCTATAAAACTGGGTGTTGTCTGAGTTCTTCTCCAATGGCGGTCGCACTATGTTGCAAGTTTATTTGATTACTAGGATGTACCCAAAAGCGTCTTTTTTTCTTAATTACTCTATTTCGGCGTCTGCAGTTCGTTCACCATAATAAAACTACTGCTTCATCCAAAGGCATATTTGCAACTAGTTATTTTTAATATTTTAGTAATATTAAATTTGAAAATGGTTTCTACAGTGTACACTAAACGATAAACTAGTTTCATGTAAACATGTTTCACGCAATCAATTTCTCTAGTGTGTCATCTGATTAATATTTCCTTTTTCCTTTAATTCTGAACAACTTTTCCTTAACCTCAGTACTTGATTTTACTTATCAAACTGTTTATTGAGTAGCTTACGTTTAAAGTAAAATTTCCTATGATCTTCCATCTCCCACCACCTGATTTATTTACCTTATTTTATTTTTCTATTCTCAATTTGGGCTTACTGATAATTATGGCCCAATAGTTATGATAATTGGTAAAAATTTCTGTGTGACCACATTAGATTAGATTAGGAGTTGGTAATATTGGGTTCTGTTTTCGATAGTATATGTCTTCCAAAACTAATTCTTAATACGCTATTTTGGTCTAATTTTAATCATTTATGTAAGAAAATGGATATATAATTTTTTAAGATATTATAGTTACCTACTAGATCCAATAATTGACGTTTAAAAGCTGCTTGATTCTTAAAAATGTATTCTAGTGACACGACTTATTTAATATTACATGGATTTATCGAAAAGCTCTTGGATAAATTGAATAGCTTAGTAAATGTTTTACGAAATAAAAAATTTTAATGTTGACAAATAGCAACGAAGTAGCTGGAGCTGCATACATAATTTTCACTCGACATCCAAACCCACTTATACTGATATGGGAGAATTATTACACCTCGCCTCGAATGAAGTAGTTAAGAGAGATAATAAAAACCACAAGTAGGTACCTACCTTCTTGACCTTTTCCGTAAAGACCAAAATAAACATTCTTACATACTTTCAAACCTCAGTTATGTAAATACCGAATCAACAACGTCTACTCTACCAACTCGAATTCCGCAGTCGCAGATGTTTTCATAGGGGATTTTACAAAGTTTTTACTATCGATTTTGTCCTAGAACAAATAAATCAGAACGAAAATAAATTACGATGTTATTTTAACTTCCCTTGTATTTTCTTTGAAAATTCGTGTCTCGGCTCTTTCACTCCGATTTTACAAGCCATTATTCCAGTGAAATTATTCTGGAAACTTTCGAAAGAATAATATCTACAATGAAACATTTTCCAATGTTTGCCCAAGTCACTTCGATATTACAATTAAATTTTCGAGGGCAAGAAAATTTTGTTAGCATGTTTCGCCACAGGAAAAAAAATGTATAAAAAATTCACGAAAACGCCTGGGAAATAAGCAGTTTAGCATTTTGCTTGAGAAGTTTCTTCCTTGAATTATACACGTAAGATATTTTGTAAACTTGATATCAAAAATATTGTGTGGAAAGAAATTTGAGATATGTTTCCGGAAAAAGTTCTCTTATTAACTGAAGAATTATTCAGTGTGGGTTATAAGAAAACAATATCACGCAAAGGTGTATAGTTTTATAAACTGTGGGATTCTTCTATTTTTGTGTAATGTTATAAAGAGTTGTACGAAATTTTATTATCTGTAAAATACAAAGTAAAACACACGGTTTAATAAATTTATCACTAATTTAAGAGAAGCAGTATTATAATAATAAGCAAAAGAGTAGATTAAAAAAAGACAGTAGCTTTCGCGAGAGATATTTTACTTAAGATGCCATTCTTACCTTTTTGTCTACACTGTATTAACCATTCGATACTATCAGCCGCTCTTAACATCGTTGACAAATGGTGTACTAAGAGTAAACCCTCATAAAATTACAATAATCAACTTCACAAAACAAAAACTACTGACAGGAGTAAAGTCACCACAGTACCGAAAGAAGTAAAGATTCCTTTTGCTCATTTGCTCAAGAGGCTAAATACTTGGAAGTTAACTTAGACCACAGGTTAACATTTAATCAATACTTTAAAAAGTCACCTAAAGATGCACAACTTACGTCGAAGATTGGAAAAAATGGGGACTACAACCGAAAATTACTCCATGGCTATATGCCAGATTTATAAGGCAAGCTGAAATCATTCGACAACTCAAGGGTACTCAACGGCAAGAATGCCCAAGTACCACGGCAGCAATGAGAACGACAGCAACTCTAGAAGACACTAAACCAAACCAAACACCGCTATGTAATCATTCAATGCGAAGACTAGTCTGTCACATAGAGACTACAGAAGGATCTATCACGCATACATATTTTGCGTGGTCGTGACTACAGTAAACACTATAAAGATTTGGAGTACGATTAAATAATGGGAATTCCTTCAAACGAAAGACAGGAAAGTGTGGACGGGAGGAACACCTGGTATACAAAGTACAGACGGCTTTAAAACCCATGAAGAATCTAACTCGACAATATTCAAGGCAGAAATAATTTCAATATATCACAGCGTTAAAGAGGTATTATAACATAAGGTTAATGAAAAAAACCATTGTCATATACTCAGACAATCAAGCGACACAAAAAGTACTCAGTTCTATGCAGGTACACACAAAGCTTGTGTATGACTGTTTATAAGAGCTGGGTAGTCAACACAGACTAACCTTATCCTGGGTACCAGGCCATAGAGGACATAAGGGCTCATTTACTAGCTCGAGTAGAAGCCTTAAAAGCTCTTATTGGCCCAGAACCCTTCTGTGGTGTCACAGAGACAGCTATCAGATCATACACAAAGGAGTGGATGTTTAAAAAATCTTAGGAAAGATTGAAAAATTTACCAGGACAGAGACAAGTCAAAGAGTTCTTAAAAGAATCATAGCCTAAAGTCTCCGAGCATCTACTAACCCATAATAGGAAAAACACTAGAGTACTAGTAGGTCTATTAACAAGGCATTGTACGCTTAACAAAAATATGTATAATATCGGTCTGACAGAAGAAACCTTATGCTGATTCTGTTAGGAAAAAAAGGAAACTTGCAGAACACATATTGTACTACTGTTCAAGTTAATCAAGATTAATATTCTTTGTACTTGGAGAAGAAAAACCAAGGCCACCTAGCTACGCCGTAGAACTATTTCCTAGTCTACAAAAGACCAAACTAGACAAGGTATTCTAAGGAATATCTATAATAGATCTGAAAAGGTCGAGGTGAAAGTGGCCACATGGTCTACAGTCGTAATTAAATCTAATAAACCACTTACTTTTGCTCAATTCATAAGGAGCTATCTATCTAAATAAGTATTTGATTGAAAATCTACTTATACTGAACTCTAGGCTTTTTATCCCCCTTTTTATTCCCGATTTCTTCGTGTTCCAGATATTGTACTTCGGCAATGACACCGGAATTTCGTCCCCCTCTTACATTGTCTAACTATCCTGTCGCCATATATCCCTAAGATATTTAGGTATCTTCTAAGGTTACAGTGATCCGTAAAAGTCCTATTGCAGCCTTATGTTGGTTCCTATTAATGTTAAGCCGTTAATTTTGTCTGCTTTTGAAAGGACTCTACGAATATTATGGACAACCTAGATTAAGAAGCTGCAACCAGAGGTTATGGTGTTTATCTGTTCAATTAGGATTCTTTTGGCATGTTGATATGAACTATCACACAGTTTTCTCTAATCCCTTTCTTGTTTTCCAATAATCTTTTATGTTCCGGCATCCATGCAAGAAAAATCTTATTATAGTCTGCAGAGTCTGAAGGGACTGTTAACTCAATATTAATTTGTATGTTACTGCTACCCTTTACTATCATAATAGAGATACTAGTATTTCTAAGAGAGTCATTTGGCATAATCTGAAAATATGTATTTATAGCTGTTATAGCTGGAATTCTTTTGCCAGTGACCTCAGGTTTGGACTAATTAATAGTCATCCCTGAGTTTGTATGGTAAATTCCAGCTCTTATGCTGTTTTGTATCTTCCAACCGTCTGAATACCAGAATAATTCGTTTTGTATTTCTCTTTTTTCCTCAGCTTCTGGTTCTTTCTGTTATTTTAATATCAAAAAGTTTTATAAAGTTAAGAACAATATAAGTATAAGGTCCAATGACATTTATAGGATTTTGTTTAAATTTTTGTAATACCATTGTGTGGTGTTCTTTTTTGAAGGTTCACCTCCAAATCTATTTGTGAACAGCCTGTTTTCCATCACCTTCGCTTTTTTTCGCACCGTAAGGTGTAATAAAGGAAAACAAAGGGATAAAAAGTACTCTTTTATAGTTAATCGAGAGTTGCCTATGAGTCACCTTAAGATGGATCAAAGGTCACCCCACATCGAAAGGTAATGCAGCCAACCAACTTTTTATACCTGGTCCTTTCAATAGACTAACCTCATCGTTCCTAAACCTCCTCCCAATCTTTTGGCTTCCGTATATTTTCTAGACTCGCGCCATAGTGCAAATATAAAAAATATTTGTTCTTCACATAACTTCTATTGCTGAAGACCATGCTTCCTAATGCCAAAGCACTCTCTCATTCGCCATAGTTGCTTTAGAGGAGTGAACAGAAAATTTAGGAGCATGTGTGTATAAACAATAAATTCATTTACTAACTTTTATAAGTTTTTTTTGTACCGTTTTCTAAAAAGTTTTCCGCAAGAAACTTATTAAAACCAGTAT